GGGGTCTGTAAGCATGTTGGGTTGCTCCTTTGATGCTCAGCCAGGAAATTGACAATTATGGCTTAGCCTTCACCTTCTGCTTTCACAGTGCCTTCAGGTCAGCCACCAGAGAGAGCTTCGGGTCTCTCAGCCCTTTCCTGAGCATTCACGTAGCCTAAGCTTTTCAGTCTTTTGGGGCATCTCATCACCCTTTTCCTTGTAAACTTATTGGTTAGCCTACTGTTTGTTCCAACTTTCTACTGCTTCAGGCAGTTTCCATTACATGTTTCTAAAAAATGCTCCTGGGGTAAAGGCTTTTTACACTGGATAACCTCTGAGTCAGGTGAAATAAAGACAGACTTGCAAGTGTTGTCTTCCAGGGAACTACCACACAATTTCCTGGAAGAGAGTCTTTGAAGAACCTCCAAGCTTATTCTGTTCCTCCCTATGGCTATCAGGATAATGGTTTTCACTGTGATTGCAAGCTGTTATTTTCTTCATAAGATAAAATTATAACAAATTTAGTTTAAACATCCTTTATTTGAAATTCTAGAATTGGATACGACCTCATTCTATAGAATAGAATGAGTGTCCCAATAAGTTAAACAGAGAAGCTTAGCTTTATAGACAGAAAAGGGCCCAAGAAAGCAGATACAGAGAACAAAAAGCAGACCAGTCATTTCAAAGTGACTTCCTTTATTGGCTTAAGAGGGGGCTTTCTTACTGTACTGACTCAGGTTGATTTGAATCTCCTATTTTTTGGAAAACTGGTCTTTTTCAAAATTCAGTTTGATTATACATGCCACCTAGCGTAAATGACTTCATTCTAGTTTCTTTTTGTTTGTTTGTTTGTTTTGAGAGATTTTCACTGTAGGGCGCGTGCGCTTGCCAGACAGACAGAGAGAGACATAGAGACAGAAAGCGAGAAATCACCCCCCAGGGGGGATGGTCACGCTGCAATCCCTTCTCCTCCATTCTCCTCTCGGGATCTTGGGCACTTACGCACATGTGCCCGGCGTGAGTGTTAAGCCACCGGGTCCGGGACACGAACCGCGGTCGACTACGTGGGAGTCCAGCGACATAGCCATTACGCTAACTGCTGGTTCCCTTCATTCTAGTTTATCTGGTCTTCTGGGTCCTAGTATAGTAGGCTAGTCCAAAACAGTGATCTCCCACAGACTGTAAGTTTTCAAGACTGCTGGAGAGATGGAAATATAGGCATGGGAATAAGGTTACTCAAACCTGTACAAAGATCACTGCTCTTAAGGAGATTCAGCTCTGTTTCTTAAATACTCCCCAAACTGCTTCAAGCATTTTTGTTTTTGTTTTTGGAGAGATTTTTTTCTGTAGGGTGCATGCGCTCACCAGAAAGACAGAGACAGAAAGCGAGAAATCACGCCCAAGTGGGGATGGCCATCTCCTCTGGGGATCTTGGGCACGCACACATGCACACACGCCCAGCGTGAGGTTAAGCCACCAGATCCAGGACTCAAACCACGGTCAACTACATAGGAGGCCAGGAAGGTAGCCATTATGCCATCTGCTGGTCTTCCATTTTGTTCATTTTTATAATTCTGAAAAACTTAGTGATAGTTTTTGTCAGTTTTTTCCTTGCTTTTATAGAAAAGAGAATTCTAGGAGGCCATTACTCTACTATTTTTGTCAACTGTCTCACTCATCTCTACTATTAATATTTAATATTATAATGTAACATTCTATTATAATTTAATATTCCTTGCGATTAAATAGAAGAACATATAAAGCACTTATACTGTACATAAGTACAGTGATTGCGTCAACTAAAACACTATGCAACTGTTTGAGTTGCAAATTAATCTGAAAACGTTTATAATAGGCCACCATTTTGTAATGTTTTTAGATTTTTGCCACAGGGTGAATGCAGTTGCTCAAGAGACAGAGAAAGTGGGAAAGTGAGATATTACTCACTACCCACAATGGGGATAGCCAAGCCTCCGTGCCTTCTCTTCCACTCTCTTCTTGGGATTTTGTGCACACATGTACGTGCACCCAGCATGTTTTTTCACATTGCTGGGTCCGGAACTCGAGCTGCAGCGTAGCGATGTGGGATTCAGCACTTTAACCACCATGCCACCTGCTGGCCCTGTACCACCATCTTTCCTTGAGTATTTGGCTGATATTTTCTTAATATTGAGTAGAAGTGAGCCTGTCATTTCAAGAAAAATAACTGACAGAATTTTATACTGATGATAGATTTCAAGCTTCCAAGCAAAAGTAAGAATTCGGGAAAACTTGTATGTGTCATTATAAATTTGACGACTTCCAGTTTCTATATTTTTCTGATTAGATCGGCAATGATGCTAACAAACAAAATATTTAATATTAAATAATGAAATGTGTCAGTATTTGGAAGATATGTATAATTCCATGAACCAGTATTTACTGAAAGATCAATACATGATGCTAACAAAATCATGTATAAGTAAAAGATCATATGACAGTTTAAGATAGAGTGATAGATTTTAATATAAAGGTTCACAACAAACCTTTAAGAAATGACCACTTGTCAAGTTTGGGTATAGTGTCAGAGAAGAATATCCTTAATTATCTGAAAAGACTATAAACTACCCCTCTTTTTCTGACTGCATGCCTCTTTGAGACCAGATTTTCTTCATATATTTCGCCAAAATTATGTATCACAACTGATTGAGTACAGGAGCAGATATAAAAACTTAGCTGTCGGGGACCAGCAGGTGGCATGGCGGGTAAGGTGCTTGACACTCCCACATGGCCAACCACGGTTCGAGTCCCAGACCTAGCGGCTTCCTTTCTCCCTTTAAAAAAACCTCTCTCTCTCTCTCTCTCTCTCTCTCTCTCTCTGTGTGTGTGTGTGTGTGTGTGTGTGTGTGTTTCTCTCTGGCCAAATTAAAATAAATGAATGAATAAATAAAATTAAATAAATAATAATTTTTTAAAAGTTTAGCTGTCATCTTATTATCCAGACATTAAAGAGATGTACAAAACTGTAAACAGTACTATCCATTTCAGTAATTTTTATTTGTTTTGGAACATACAATTATTTTCCATGAAAATATCTTATATATATTAACATAAAATGAGTTCGGTTTGATTTTTAAATAATTAACACATAGTTTTTTTGTTGTTTTTTTTTTCTTTTTTTCTCTTTTTTGGAGAGGTTTTTGCTATAGGGTGTGTGTGCTCACCAGACAGACTGAGAGAGACAGAGAGACAGAAAGCGAGAAATCACCCCCCAGGGGGGATGACCATGCCTCAGTCCCTTCTCCTCCATTCGCCTCTCAGGATCTTGGGCACACACGCACACGCGTCTGGCATGAGTTTAAGCCGCCGGGTCCGGGACTTGAACCACTGTCGACTACGTGGGAGTCCAGCGACATAGCCATTACGCTAACTGCTGGTCCCAGTTTTTATATTTATCTTTTAAATTTTGCTATGGTAAATATCAAAATTTATAACTCACATAAACAAAAGTTATTTGAAGCCCTTAATAATATTTTAATATGCAAAAAAGTTCTGATTCCAAAGTGTTGAATAATTGCTATGCTAGGTCTTCTGAGTAAAACTCTTAATCACCAACAGGAGACCAAGTGAAAAATTTAAAAATGGCTGTTGTTTTCCATTTACTTCACTTTCCCACGCTTAGTGCTAATATTTTTGTGTGGCCTGTATCCAAAGTCTACTCATGCATGCAGGCAAGGTGGTCAGAATTAGTCAATCTGCAGGAAACATTTTAGGCAGACCCTTTCTGCTTCTTGCATAGGCTGTGATCCTTCTGTCTCATGGCCTTTGCACAAGGTTTTTAATTCTACCTGAAAAGCTTGCCTACCTATTCCCTAACAATTCTTATTTATTCTCCAGATTTCATAACAAATGTCACTACCTCAGGGAAGCCTTCCCAGACCTATTCCTTCAGACCTTTACGTCTTTCAGATTTGATTGACTCCCTAATCTCTCTCATAGGTTCATGTACTTTTCTTTCATATCAAAATTTGCGATTGTGTAAGTTTTAGATGATTTGATTAATACCAGTCTTCCCTCTTAACTTAAGCTCCACAAGGACAAGTTTCTTTTTTTGCTTACCATGTTATCCTCAGTGTGCATCACAGGGTTTGGCAGTATATACATGCAGAATGAGTTCATTTTTGTCCCAATATGAAAACCACATGTTGAGTCAAGGAAGAGAGCATTTTATTGATTGTTCCATCATTTGAAATAGTTTTTCAAATTACCAACCATGAGTTACGAGAGATCTGTTGAAAATAGTTTCTATTGCTTGGACCTCCAAGTAAAAAGATATCTTAGCAGTATAATAATTGTAGGAAATTAGTTGCTTGGTTCACTTACACAGATACCATTTACCAGAACCTTCTGACTCATACTTAGTTCCTAAACTTTCTTTTTAGAGTTATAAAAAATACCTTTATTAATGGTTGTGTTGAGTCCTTCTCTAAAAATATCTTTTATTAAATGCAGGAGGAGATTGGATTCATGCTGTATTATTTCTTTTGGGACTAATGGTACATTTTCCAACTTCAGAAATTGTTTTTAAGACCACAAAAGTATCAGATTAAACTAATGTGGTGACTACCTCAGGACAGTAGTATTTTATTCTGTTTTCTTTCCAAGAATGTAACTGTTAAAAATTACTACAGTTATTTATTCTTCACTTCACAATTTATTAACTGAAGGGATCATATTTCATTCTTCTTCCATTGGGGTGACTGTGGGTGTGTGTCTTCATGCAGGAGAGACAAATAGTTTTTCATTTGAGGGCTTTAACTCTGGTCCTATTTTAATTAGGAGACCTTTGAGATTTGGATGAAGGCAGTATATTGTCCTTTCAGCTAGCCAGGCAATATCTGCAAGATTTGTCTAATCATAAGAGTTGTGAACCACCTTCAGTCTGGTACACTTTAACCAGTGCCTTCAGAATTTACAGCCTTTACTTTAGAACCCTCAGCGTTGATCTCATTGCTGATTCCAAACGGTTTTGTTTTACACAGAAACAAATGGATATCAATGCTGCTATTCAAGCCTTGATGGAATCAAATGCTGCCTTACAGATGGAGGTAGTGTATCTGTCTTTATTTATGTTGGACTCCCAGTGTACAAATTAAACGGAAATTTTTTTGAGGCCAAAATGTGGCCTTATCTCAAAGATTGTATTTAAGACAAATTGATAATGTGAGATTATTTTCAAGTAATCAAAGTAAGTGGTTTTTCTATAATTAAACAGAAATATATACATAGGACATTTTGTAAGAAAAACATTTAAAACAAAAGTGTAATATTATTAAAGGATCTATTTATAAGGAATTTGGTATTCTTAAAGAAAATACTTAAAGGAAGTTATCCAAGGTTTCTTAAAATGGGCTTTATCATCAGTACTCATTTACCTTATTTAAACTCTAATTATTTGATGCATAAGTTTTGAAACATTATACAGTAGGCATAATAATTCTTTAAGTCTTATAATAGCTTGGAACTAAATTTTTGAGTTTTTTTGTTTGTTTTTTTGTAGAAAGAGATTTTTGTTAGAGGGTGGGTGTGCTTGCCAGAGAGGCAGAAAAGGACAGAGAGACAGAAAGCGAGACATCACCTCCCAGGATGGATAGCCACCCTATAATCCCTTCTCTATTCTCAGGACCTTGGGCATGCACATACATGTGCCCAGCATAAGTTTTAAGCAGCCATTCCAGTACTCGGACAAAGGTCAACTACCAGCAACATAACCACTACGGCCATCTGCTGGTCCCAGATTTTGAGTTTTAATGTCTGTTTTAGTGTCAAAGTTAATAAAGCTACAGATATGCCTTTTCATAAATGTAAACTGTTTTTTACATCCTGCTTCAACACACTAAATGTATTAGAAGCATATTTTATTAACACCTTCATCTGTGTTGGTCAGGGAGAGTTTTTAACTATTTTAAAAAAGATTTATTTATTTAATTTTATTTGTTATTATTACCTTTTAATTTAACCAGAGGGAGAAATCAAGAGAGAGAAAGTGAGAAAGCTGCCAGGTCCAGGCCTTGAACCACAGTTGGCCATGTGGGAGTCCAGCGCCTCTAACCACTATGGTACCTGCCAGCCCCCAGGAAGAAGTTTTTGCTTATATGAATTTTTTTTTTCTTTTTTGAGAGGTTTTTTGCTATAGGGCACCAGAAAGACAGAGAGAGACAGAGAGACAAAAAGTGAGAAATCACCCCCTGGGGGAATGGCCATGCCACAATCCCTTCTCCTCCATTCTCCTCTCGGGATCTTGGGCACGCACGCACATGCACCCGGTGTGAGTTTAAGCCACTGGCTCCAGGACTCAAACCATGGTCAACTACATGGGAGTCCAGTGACATAGCCATTACACTAACTGCTGGTCCCACTTGCTTATATGATTCTTATGATGACTTGGCAGAGCTACCAGAATACTGAAGTGACTTTAATCGAGCACAGTGCAGAGATTTTCAAAACCCTGAACTACCTTAGCAATTTACTGCACAGCATCAAGAATCCTGTTGGCACCCGAGATAACCCGGCACGAATCTGCAAGGATTTGCTTGACTGTGAACACAAAGTATCAGATGGTAAGGTCTTGGTTTCCTCAAACTCTGATGTCAAATTTCGTTTCCTCATTTCTGTGTGTTTGAGATGTGCAACGTGTTCATTCCAAATTTTAGTCAGTTCTTAGCAGAAGTTGTGTTAATGTCATCAAAAATAAACATGCTTTAGATTTCACCCCACCCCCCACTCTATCATTTGCTTCCACAGTGTACTTGAAATACAACACATTCATGTGGAAAATTAGAATGGGTAGGAAGACATTTGGGTTGACAGATAGGAGCTCTTATCAGAACTTAGTCATTCAGGACCATCAAAGTTGACAACATAAAGATTTCATAGACCTCCCTTCACCACACTCCCTAAAAACACAATTTTTACACAAAATGAAGTAACTGCCCCATTCTAAAATCAGTGATCATAAAGATGAATTGATTTGCCATACTTCAAAGTTTTCTCATCCTTCACAGATACTTGATTAACTAGAGTGCAAAAATGAATTTAGAGTACAACCATGAAGGAAAGGTTTAACATGAAAAGGAGCAGTAATCAGCTAAATAGGAAAAATTGTATCTGCTATACATTGCCATTTTTACAATTTTTTATTTGGTCTGTGATCAGCTGTACAATCAATTGTATCATTTTTTGCTAAAAATTCTAACCCTAACACCATGACACGTATACTGATTTAAAAATAAACTATGCCATATTTTTCATGTGAGTTAATAGTAATCCTTATTTTAATTGTATGTATATGTTTTATGTTTATATATATATTTATGTATATACATACAACACACACGTACACACGTATATATTCTTGTCCAAAAATACCTTTTTTTTTCCTTTTTTTGGAGAGTTTTTTGATATAGGGCATGTGCACTCACCACAAAGACAAAGAGACAAAGAGATAGAAAGTAAGAAATCACACCCCGGGGGGATGGCCATGCCGCCATCCCTTCTCCATTCTCCTCTCGGGATCTTGGGCATGCACACACATGCGTCTGCGGTGAGTTTAAGCCACTGGGTCTGGGATGCAAACCACGGTCGACTACATGGGAGTCCAGTGACATAGCCATTATGTTAACTGCTGATCCCAAAATACCTTATTTCAATCTAGAAGTGCAATGAAAATTTTCACTTTACTTATATTAATAAAATACTTAACTTCTACAGGTATTTCTTGTCTTGGGTCAATATAAAATCTAAAAAATATAATTACAGCTATCTATAATAATGCTAAGTTTGATTCTTTGCCATTTTTTAAAATTATTTTTTAATTTTATTTATTCATTCATTTATGTTAATTTGACCAGAGAAAGACACACACACAGAGAAGGAAAGTGAGAAAGTAAGCCACCAGGTCTGGGACTCCATCTGTGGTTGGCCATGTGGGAGTGTCCATCACCTTAACCACCACAACACCTGCTGGTCCCTAATTCTTTGCCATTTTTCAGGGTGCAAAAATATAATTCTGTAGAATTGAAATGAATAAAGACATTGTAAGACTTATCAAATCAGTGTGAAATCTAACTCAAGTTAGATTTAATTTTGCCATAGGGCACATTTTTTTTTCCAAAAAGGAAATAGAGTGGGGATAAGTGAGAAAGAACCTCCCATGGCAGATGGTCACATCGCAATCCCTTCTCCTCCATGTCTCCCTCCTTTTGGTATTTTGGGCATGCATGCACAAGTGCCCAGCATGGTTTTTAAGCCACTGGGTCCAGGACCCAAACCACGCTGTCTCCCATGTGTGATCCAGGTGCCTAACCACCATGCCACTGACTAGACCAGTCTGCCTTTCTGGTAGGGAAAACAAGCTATGTGATATGGATTGCAGAAATTAAATGTCACAAATATCAGAAATTAATGTCAAAAAATACATATATTACTAGAGATGTGAAGTGGTATAGAGATAAAAACAGCAGGAAAAAGTGATGTGGTAGAAAGTGGAGTGAAGGGTCTAGTTTTAAATAGAATAGTCAGATAAAGCATCTCTAAGAATGTGACATTTGAGCGATCAGAGAGAGGTACAAGAACAAGCAACAGGAAATTTAGAGAGAGTTTTCTACGAAGAAAAGAGAAACAAATGTAAAAGTCCTGAGCCTAGTAGTGTACCTGGCATGTGCTAGGATTATCAAGAACCATGGCTATAATATTGAATAATACACTGAAACTGTGCTAAGAGGGTATATTTAAGGAATTTAAACTACAAAAAAGGTAATTATATGAGATGATGGCTATGTTAATGGATTTACTGGTAATTATTTCACTATATATATCAAAACATTGTACTATACACCTTAACTATATAAAGTAAAACTTCATTTTTAAAATAAAAATAAATAAAAACTGTACCCTAGGACTCTTCAACATTTAGAAACCAAGGAGATAAGGGGGAAGCAGTGAAGGAAACTAAGGCTATCCCTGAGATAGGCAGAAAACTAGAGGAATATAGTATCCTGGAAATCAAGCAAAGACAGTATAATGGAAGGAAGACACCAGATGAGTCAATGTCAAGTAAGGTGAAGAATGAAAAAGGTTATCGTATCTAACAAATGTAGAGTAAAGATCATTGATGACTTTAACCGAGGGCAGTGTAGATAAATAGCAGTAGTTAAAATCTTATTGGGTATTGAGACCAGCAGAAGGAGTAGTGGTTGAGTCATTGGACTCCCACGTAGTCAACCACACTTCAAGTCCAAGATCTGGTGGCTTAAAATTCACGCAGGACAGGTGTTCATGTGTGCCCAAAATCTCAAGAGGAGAATGGTGGAAAAGGGATTGTAGCATGACTATCCCCCTCAACGTGATTTCTTGCTTTCTGTCTCTCTGGCAAGCGCGTGCACACTATAGCAAAAATACTCATTGGACTCCCACGTAATCAACCACACTTCAAGTCCAAGATCTGGTGGCTTAAAATTCACGCAGGACAGGTGTTCATGTGTGCCCAAAATCTCAAGAGGAGAATGGTGGAAAAGGGATTGTAGCATGACTATCCCCCTCAACGTGATTTCTTGCTTTCTGTCTCTCTGGCAAGCGCGTGCACACTATAGCAAAAATATCCCTTAAAAAAAAAATCTAATTTTATTTAACATCTAAGATGCTGATGATATATATTTGAAGTATCATAATTTATAAGGATGGTTCAAATATATGTTAGTATGTTATTTAAATAACTTTGTATTTTACTATGTATCATAGGAAAATACTGGATTGATCCGAATCTCGGATGTCCTTCAGATGCTATTGAGGTTTTCTGCAATTTCAGTGCTGGTGGCCAGACATGTTTATCTCCTGTTTCTGTGACAAAGGTATGATTAAATTTTGAAACAGAAGTTAGTATGTGCACAGTATTAGTGAACAATGATTCTTATCACTTTAAATAATCATACATTTTCAAAATGAAAGCAAACATTCTCTATCATATGTAAGAAATAAATTTTTGTTTTTAAAAAATGATTAATTGCACTAAACCTTGAATTATTTTAAATATTTTTAAATTTTATTTTATTATTATTTAAATTTGCTACAGGGCACACACGCTCACCAGAAACAGAGAAAGAGAGGGATAGTGAGAAAGTGAGTCACCAGGTCTGATATTCAAACGAGAGTTGCCCATATGGGGGTCCAGTGCCCTATCCATCATGGCACCTGCTGGCCCCAAACCTTGACATCTTGATTGTATATTTTTCAATTGGCTTAGCTTGGCTTACTCTACTGATTATGTTTTTTTAATTGCTTTTAAAGTATGCAACACATGATATATTTTATGTATATACATACATTAGAAAATCCCTAAACAGCTGTAGTGTTTGTAATCAGTAATCAGTTCACTTGTTTCGCTGAAAATTATATTATCATCATTAAAAGAATTTTGCCACAAAAGCTTGGTATTTTTGGTAACTGGGCACACAACAACCTGTTTTGTTTTGTTTTGTTTTGTTTTTAAGAGAGATTTTTGCTATAGGGCACATGCACTCACCAGAAAGACAGAGAGAGACAGAGAGACAGAGAAACAGAAAGCAAGAAATCGCCACCCAGGGGGATGGCCACTCTGCAATCCCTTCTCTTCCATTCTCCTCTTGGGTTCTTGGACATGCACACACATGCGCCCGGCATGAGTTTAAGCCACCGGCCCAGGACTCAAACCACGGTCAACTACTTGGGAGTCCTGCGACATAGCCATTACGCCAACTGCTGGTCCCAGTAATAACCTCTCTTAAACACCCACCGAATACTATTTAGAACTCCTTTCAAGTGTAATTTTACAAAACATATGTTTAGTATAAATTCAAGTTAGTTTGATATAACACTGGGTAGTCTTAACAAGTATTTATAAAATTAAAACCTGTGTACAAAGGCTAGTTCTACTTATAGTTGAAACAAAACTGTATTTCTTTTCTTTTTCTTGCTTTTTCTGATTAAGGTAGCTTGGTACATTACCATGAATATTTTATTTACAAAGAAATGATATTAATACATGTGCCTATCACGTGTTTCATTCATCATAAGGCAGCAGCTCAAATGTACAGTCCCTTGCTGCTTATTATCAAATTGCCTCCTAAAACATCTCTCTTCATTAACCAGTGTTTCATTCCCCTGGATACTGGTTCAAAGTATTTTATTTGGATTATCATAGATAGAAGAGGATTGGGTGTGGCTGGGGGCAGTGGAAGGAGAGCACAGAGCAGACAGGACCAGTGAGGGAGTGGCATACCAGTTCTTTCCATGACTGAATCAATTCTCCCATTTCTCCTATTCATAAACTCAACCTCAAGAAAACTGAGGAGATAATGGACTTGGATTCAGAGCCTAGGTTCTAGTCTCTACTCCTCGATTAACCTAGGGAATTAAACTGCGAATCACCAGAGGGCCCACGCTGTGCCAGGCACTATGCTGGGTGAAATACGTTTGCCACTTCTCAGCCTCATACTCCGTCAGGTGGGTGTGAACCCCACTCTCCCAACAAGAAAAGAAGGGTCAGAATAGTAAAATATTTACAAGTTCCTGATTCTGACTTGTAAAATGAAGGAACTGAATTACTTAAACACTAATGTTCCTTGTGATCTTTCCATGTATTTATTCTTCGCCTTTCTTTTGTCTTTTCTTTCTTTCTTTCTTTCTTTTTTTTTTTTTTTTTTTTTTTTTGACTTTCTTTCTTTAAAGTTATTTTTTGCTATAGGGTGTATCCACTTGCCAGAGAGAAAGAAACAGACACAGAGGGAGAGGGAGAAATCACACTTGAGGGGGGAATAAGCATGCAAAAATCCCTTTTCCTCTATTCTCCTCTCAGGATTTTGGGCACACACACACACACACACACACACACACACACACATGCACTCAGCATGAGTTTCAGGCCTCTAGGTCCAGGACTGAGAACGTGGTCAGTCCAGCATGTGGGAATCCAGCACCTTAAGCACTATGCCACCTGCTGGTCCCTGGATTTTCTTTTTTGTTATTGTTCTTGTTTTTATTTGTTTCCTTCTCTGTTAGCCCATACTGATGTTTTTCTAACTTTATGTTTGGAGATTAATAGAAATTCATCAGTAAGGGCCAGGAAGTGGCATGGAGGTTAAGGCGCTGGGTCCCACTTAGTCAACTTTGTAATTCAAGTCCCAAACATTATGGCTTGAAAATCACACTGGGCACATGTGCATGCATGCATGCCCAGAATCCTGAGAGGATAATGAAGGAGAAGGAACTGTAGCTTGGCCATCCCTCCTGGGGGAGTGATTTCTCACTTTCTAACTCTGGAGAGCACACATGCCCTATAGCAAAAAGTAACTAACTAACTTAACTAACTAAATCTTTATGAACCATTTCTATTAAGTTATATTATGATCATATACCTGTTGGAATAATGCTGATATAATAATAATGTTTAGAACTATTAAAAATATACTCCCCTGTCCACAGCTAGAACATGTGCAATCAGATTTCCTAACTCCAATTTTGCTCTATTTTATTCACTTTATCAGTTCATATTTGTTCATATGGTCATTTAGTCATTCAATAAACATTATTAATGGCTCACTGTGTGACCAGAACTACATTAGGACTGCAACATAAAGAGCAAGACTCTTCCTTATCCTTAATAGCTTTGATGTTATTATTCAAGCAACTTATTTTTTCAACTTGTAATTTATCTTTGGAAACTCAAACAAATGAAAACATAAACAGAATTTAGATTTTTATTTTTTAAAAAATCAAAGCATTAGCCCCAAATAAGTGATTTCTGCATCTTTTTTTTAAAAAAATTACTTATAGTACCTTAATGGTGTGCTGGAGCCAGTCCAGACAGGCTCAGGAGAGCCTTTTTATTTTTGGAGACATTTTTGCTATGGGACACGTGCACTCACCAGACAGACAGAGAGAGACAGAGAGACAGAAAGCGAGAAATCACCCCCCAGGGTTGGCCACACCTCAATATTTTCTCCTCCATTCTCCTCTCGGGATTCTGGGCATAAATGCACACGTACCCAGCGTGAGTTTATGCCACTGGGTCCGGAATCCGAACTGCGTTCAACTACATGGGAATTCAGCGACATAGCCATTACACTAACTGCTGGTCCCCTTTTTTTTTTTTTTTTAATGCCAAAGAGCTCTTTTATGTGCCATAGAGAGAGAGAGACCAAGAGACAGCAAAAGCCCTTTCCTACAGGATCTGGTCATGCCACAATCCTTTTGCCTCCACCTCTCCATCTTGTCAATTCCGAGCATGTGTGCATGCAAACCCAGCATGTACACAAACTCAGCATGTTTTTCAAGCCACCAGGGCCAGGGCTTGAACCATTGTTGACCATGTGGGATCTTACTCCCTCTAGACAGGGCTTAAACACCGCACACTCAGGCTTGCCCTGGAAGGCCCATCATTAACACCTCCTCCCAACTCCATGTCCAGTAACATCTTGGTAGCCTGAAATCAGCCATGGTGAGAGATAATGGACGTGGATTCAGAGCCTTCCATGTCTGCCATGGAACTAAATTAAAAAAAAAAAAAAAGCTATAAATCAGGGATTTTTCTCTGGAGAAGCAGTGGTTTAAAAAAATATAACAGAGTACCACTGACTAGCATTTAAACTCCAATAAAAGCAGCTTTCTCAAGGCTACTTTTCAGGGACTTTGCTCAAATTTCACCATACTGTAAGTTTCTTCATTTCCATGGCTTATAACGTGTATATATTTCTATGACATTAGTTGGAGTTTGGAGTTGGGAAAGTCCAGATGAACTTCCTTCATTTGCTGAGTTCAGAAGCCTCTCATATCATCACTATTCACTGTCTAAACGCACCAAAATGGACAACTGCTCAAACAAGAGGCTCAGAGTTGCCTGTTGGTTTCAAGGGATGGAATGGCCACATTTTTGAAGCAAACACTCTACTTGAACCTGAAGTGCTTTCAGACAATTGCGAGGTAAGAGAATAGCACTTGTAGAATTGTTCCGTGTCACTAACTTATAATTGATAAAATAATAAAACTAAAATAATGAGAATAAAGACTTTAATTACAAACTGCAGACATAGAAAGCTAGTTGGTTTAGTGTGCCTGATTCATAACCATACATTTTTTTCAGAATCAGTCATTTGCTTGTATTGTATCTTGTCAGTTGTTTTTTTAATTGCCAAAGGGTGTGTAAGCTTGCCAGAGTGAGACAGAGAGTAGGAGAAAGCACCCTTCAAATGGGTATGGTCATACTGTAATCCCTTTTTTATGATTTGTAATCATATTTAATAATATTAACAGAAGTTCCTACTGGAACCAGCAGTTGGCATAGTGGCTATGTCTCTGAGCTCCCATGTAGTCAACCACGGTTCGAGTCCCGGACCTGGTGACTTAAATTCACACCAGGCACGCTAAGATCCCAAGAGAATAGAGGAGAAGGAATTGTGGCGTGGCCACCCTCCCTGGGGGGTGATTTCTCACTTTCTGTCTCTCTGTCTCTCTCTGTCTCTCTGGCAAACGTATGTGCCCAATGGCAAAAACCTCTCAAAAAAAATTCTTTAATTGTATTTCTCTATTTCATTTTGTTGAATCTTAAAAGTTTGTTGTTGTTGTTTTAGTTTCTTCTATAGGCTGCATATTCTCGCCAGAAAGAGACAGTGAGAAAGAGAGAGACACAGAGGAAAAGTGAGAAATCACCTCCCAGGGGAGATGGCCACACCATAATCCCTTCTCCTCCAGTTTCCTCTTGGGATTTTGGGCATACACACACTCACACTGGTGTGGTTTTCAACCCACCAGGTCCAGGAATCAAATTGTGCAACTGATCATATGAGATCTGCACCTTAACTTCTATGCCACCTGCTGGTCCAAACATTTTATGATAGGTTTTATGGTATGTTTTTTCTTTAATAGAATTAAAATAGAATTAGAAGAGCATACAATAGTATGAGAAACAAGCTGTGAGAAGGAGAAGAAAAGGGAAATTATATAAATAGAGGGCCAAAGAATGAGGAAAAGAAACCCAAAAGATAATTGAACATAATTACAATTTACCCATTTCTAACTGAGGCTATTCTGGTTATCTACTGCCAAAAATACAGTGGTTGAGATAACTCATTCTCTTTGATAAAAAAAAAGGGACCAGCAGTTAGAGTAATGGCTATGTTGCTGGACTCCCATGTAGTCGACTGTGGTTTGAGTCCTGGACCCCAGTGGCTTAAACTCACACTGGGTGCATGTGCATGTGTGCCCAAGATCCCAAGAGGAGAATGGAGGAGAAAGGATTGTGATGTGGCCATTCCCCCGGGTGGTGATTTCTCACTTTCTGTCTCTCTGTCTCTGTCTTTCTGGCGAGTGCGTGTGCCCTATAGCAAAAATCTCTCAAAAAGAAAGCACTTCCTGAAGAGTCAGTCCCAAATAAGGGAACACAGACAAGTTGGGTATTTCTCAGATCAGGAATGGTACAGTCTTTTAATTCGTATTTAGTCCAGTAATTCAGAAAATAGAAACTGAAGCCTGACATTAGCCTTTGGGAGTGAGAAAGCAGAACATACAATGCAATTACAGAAAAAGGAATAAACATGTTTCCATTTATTAATAGGAATTGTTACCATTTAGTGGGCATTGTTCTAAGCACTTTGTATTCATCATCTCTAAACCTCAAAACAAGTCTACATTGTGTGTGTGTGTGTGTGTGTGTGTATCTATTTTTCGTTGAGGTTTTTTGGTGGCTTTTTTTTTTTTTTTTTTGCCTTAGGTTGCACGTGTTTACCAGAGAGAGACAGAGACAGTGAGGGTTAAAGAAGAAATCACCCTCCAGGGGAGCCTAGTGAGAGAGAAGGAAGAAAAAGGAAAAGCTTAATAGTTCTACAGTTTTGTGAAGAAATCTTTAACCCAAGTTTTATGTGACAATGACAAGTGGGAACCTGTAATTACTTAATTTTTAGAAGACCGTAACCACTACAGAAGGTTTCCTCAGCTATTCCCACTCTCTTACAAATCTCATTTTTTAAACACCGGTGATCTCTTTTCTTTTATTCCCTTATAACTTTTGCTGATTTTTAGTCTTTGCATTATATATAATGTTCATCAGTGTAAATTGATGATATGAATTTCTGAGACCATAAAAAGAGTATATTTTTATAAGAAAGTATAGGAAAAATTTGGACATTTAATTACCTCATCCAGCAAAAATTCAGGGAAATATGGTATTTTTATTTTTATATACTTTAAAAGCAGTGGCATCATAATGGATTTATTTGTGTATGCATACTTTATAATAAATTCACACTTGTTGACCTATCTTACCAGAAGCCTAAAAAAAAAAATCACCCCACAGGGGAGATGGCCATACCTACAGTCCCTTCTCCATTCTCCTCCTGAGATCCTGGGCATGCACACACACGTGCCAAGCCTGAATTTCAAGCCACCAGGTCTGGGACTCAAATAGTCTATTTTGGACTTTGTGAGAATGACTATTGATGAAAAGTACATGAAAGCATTTTGTTCCTATTTTACAGATTCAAGATGGCAGCTGGCATAAGGCAAAATTCCTATTTCACACCCAGGACCCTAATCAACTTCCAGTGATCGAAGTACAAAAACTTCCTCAGCTCAAAACTGAGCAGAAGTTTTACATCGAAAGCAGTTCTGTATGCTTTCTTTGAAGTCTCTGAATTAGTTCAGAATTCATGCTGTTGGCCAGGTAATTGCTGCAGAGGGAAAAATATAGACAGAAAGATTCTGTCATTATGAAATGCATTGCAAAAAGCATTGGTTAAATCTTTAAAAATCTCAGGAAGAGAATATTTCCTCCTAAGAAGGAGAAAAGGCATTTTTTTAAAGGACTATGATTGATAAAGTATTTAATTATTTTTAAATTTATATTGATCTGAGCTTTCTCAGAGAATTCCCAGAGCTTAAAATTTATAAACAAGGAATTCTTCAGGGTATCCTATATTTTTGACTATCTGAGGGTGAAGTGCCCATTAGACAGCTGGAGATGCAGAGCACTGTGGAGCAATACTGGCTAATGCTCCCAAACGTGCTATGCTTCTGTCTAAACATTACAAGCCACAGTCTAATGTCTTTTCCCAAACACTAAGCTGTATTCAGGTCCCCCGTGGGCAGGTACATATTAGCCGGTGGTACACTACCTCTACGTGTTGCCTTTTTGTGTTGCTTGGTGCTCTTTCTAAAATAAGGTGCTTGTGGCTTTCATAAACTATTTTATTTCCTTTTGCATTTTTGTCATTCTGTAAGAGTGTATGTACTGGTTACATCAAGATCTGTTTTGGTCGTTAGTACTTATTTTAATTTGTTTGGTCACGTACTTAAGAACAAGTGAAACAATTATTTATGTCAAGTCCTTGTTTTATTTTAAAATTCTCTTTGTGCATATTGAATCAAAGCCAGCACGTTGTAACCTATGCTTATACACAAGAGAATTGACAGATTTCTTTCATTTTTGTTTTATTTTTCAAATTGTTGTAAAAATATCATAGGCCAGCTACATCCTGTAGTAGGTTTGGGTTAGAGATTTGGGGTTGTGATATACTGTTTTTAAAAATCCATGATCATCTGGAATGATACTTTGTATATATATTTTGTAAAAATTTTAATTCAGCAAATCTTTTGAAATTGCTGCTGTTTTAAATTATAAAAACTTTATATTTCTGCTTATAGAAATTACATGTTTTTGTAGTATTCTTTGATTTTTCTTTCACTGCTTTTAAATTTAGTATGTTATGACTTAATTAAAATTTAATTAGTGTTTAAAGCAACATCCAGAATAAACCCAATCTTTTGCTATTTAAAATAGGCTCAGCCAGTTCAGTCTTTCCTTATTGTCAGAAAAATGTTAATTTAGTGTTAAAAGAAAAATATCATACCTCTTGGTATGTAGAAAAGCTTATTCATCCATTTTAAACATAACTTTAACCACGGCAAACCACACTTACCTATCTATAATAAAATATGCTTTAAATCTTTTTTGGTGGTATTTATTTTTCTTCTTTCATTACCATATGCTTTTATTATGTATGATAGTCTCTCTAGCATAGCCATTTTATACTATATTTATTTATATAATTAGAAGGCATCTGTATATACCCACAAAAGATTATAGGGCCTATTTTCTGTTTTTACAAAATAAAGCTGAGGCACAGAAATAAACCTATATATATTTTAGATAGATAGATAGATAGATAGATAGATAGATAGATAGATAGATAGATAGATAGATAGATAGATAGATAGATAGATAGATAGATAGATAGATAGATAGATAGATAGATAGATAGATAGATAGATAGATAGATAGATAGATAGATAGATAGATAGATAGATAGATAGATAGATAGATAGATAGATAGATAGATAGATAGATAGATAGATAGATAGATAGATAGATAGATAGATAGATAGATAGATAGATAGATAGATAGATAGATAGATAGATAGATAGATAGATAGATAGATAGATAGATAGATAGATAGATAGATAGATAGATAGATAGATAGATAGATAGATAGATAGATAGATAGATAGATAGATAGATAGATAGATAGATAGATAGATAGATAGATAGATAGATAGATAGATAGATAGATAGATAGATAGATAGATAGATAGATAGATAGATAGATAGATAGATAGATAGATAGATAGATAGATAGATAGATAGATAGATAGATAGATAGATAGATAGATAGATAGATAGATAGATAGATAGATAGATAGATAGATAGATAGATATAGATATATAGATATATATATGATCAAATGATTTTCAACAAGGATGCTAACATCATTCAATGAGGAAAAGACAGCCTTATGAACAAATGGTGCAAAGAAAATTGGTTTTCCACATACAAAAGAATAAAATGGGACCTTTACTTTAGATCATATATAAAATTTAACTCAAAAAGGGATCAAAGACCTAAAAAGAAGCACTAAAACTTTAAAACTCTTAGAAAAAACACAGGAGAGGGCCAGTAGGTGGTGTGTTGTCTGAGATGGCTGGACCCCACATGACTGACTGCAAGGTTCTAGTTCCAGACCCTACGACTTGAAAATGTGTTGGGCATGTGCATCTACATGCCCAAAATCCTGAGAAGAGAATGGAGAAGAGAGGAATGCAGCATGGTCATCCCCTTAGGGACTTTTTTCTCTTTCCTGCTCTCTGTTTCTTTCCTGCTAGCGCCTGCACTCTATAGTCCTAGAGTAAAACTTAAAAAAAAAAAAGTGAAGATCTTCATCGTATTGGATCTTGGAATGACACCAAGAGCATAGTCAAGAAGAGAAAAGAATAGATAATAAATTGGACTACATCTAAATAAAAAATTGTTAAAAAACCCAAAGGAAGTATCAAGAAATGAAAGAGGAAGACAAAGATAACACAGTGGTAAAAGCTGTTGTTCTTTGAACCAATCCCATTTGGGAAGGTTCCCATTTTAAGTCCAGAGGGCTCCCTGAGTATACCAGGCACACCTGTGCCCATGATCTGGGGCTGACTGAAGATTATAGATGGATTATAGCATCAAAACCCTATTAGGAGAGACCAGCAGATGTGTAATGGTTACATCACGGGACTCCTACATGGTTGACAATGGTTCAAGACCTGGACCTGGTGGCTTCAAACTCACACCAGGCACATTTGTGTGCATGCCCAAAATCCTGAGAGGAGAATGGAAGAGAAGGGATTGTGGCATGGCCATTACCCCTGGGGGGGGGGAGAGGGGATTTCTTGCTTTCTGTCACTCTATCTCTGTCTCTCCAGCGAGCACACAAACCCTATAGAAAAATTCTCTCTTTAAAAAAAAGCGCTATTTGGGATTCTCTCTGTTTCTCTCTCTCTCTTGCTCATGGGAAATAGTAAACAAACTAGGAAGGAAAGAACAAAGAAAGAGAAAGAAGAAAGCTGACAGAATAGGAGAAAATATTTGCAAATCATCCATCTGATAAAGGATTAATATTGAGAATGTTTAAAGAGCACTACAACTTAACAAAAAAGACAGATAACCAAATTCTAAAAATAGGTAAAGGATTTGAATAGATGTATCTCCCAAGGAGATATACAAATTGCCACTGAATGAAAAGATGCTCAAAATTACTAGTCGTAAGGGAAATGCAAATGAAAACCACAGTGGGGTACCACTTTTGTGGTATAATATAAATACATATTTTATCTTTTTCTCAGAATCCTAGTACAGGGCTCCTGGAACACTTGGGTTTTCCTGAGTGAAAGGAGTTTTGTCATTTATAGTGAGCTCCTTTGAATCACATTTAAGTTTATGCTAATAGGATGATTTATGGTGAGGTCACCAAATAATATTAGGATGGGACTGGTCACCAGAAAGACCAAGTATTTGGAGGATTGGACTTTCTGTCTCACCTACTAACCTCCAGGAGGGGAGAAAGACAAAGCCTGGAAACTAGCTCCATAAAAACTGTAACAGTGAGGTTCAGAGAGCTTACAAGTGTGTGAACACGATGACTTGCTGAGAAGTTGGCATGGAAGGTCAGAATCACGCTCCGCATACCTCGTCCTGTGCATCTCTTTCAGCTGGCTATTCCTGAGTCAAGTCACTCATATTGTTGTTTCTCATTTCTATAATTTTCCCTGTTTTCAAGGTTTCTTTTTCTTTTTTTGGCTTTCAGTAATTTATAATGTGCCTCTTGTTTTTCTTCATTTTATCAGTTTGTGGTTTTTTGAGCTCAGGTTTAAAGTGAATTGTAATAACACAGTGCAACATTTTTCTTTTTTTAAAAAAGAATTATTTATTTAATTTTTATTGTTTATTATTATTATTATTAATTTGCTATAGGGCATGTGTACTCACCAGAAAGAGAGAGAAAGTGAAAAAGCCAGCTACCATGCCCAAGACTCAAATTATGATCGGCCATGTGGGAGTCCAACACCTCAACCAACATGCCACCTGCTGGCCCCCAACACAGTGCAAACTTTTCTGTCTGTAATTTTTGTTATATTAATTCTCATGTAGTAGCAGCGCAGATGTGCAAACCAAAGCACTTACACACATAGAGACCGGTAAACATCAATCAAAAGTAAATTCTATAAATACACATATTAAACTGTAGATGGTTTTTCCCACTGGCAAAAATAAAATAAAAAAAGACTATTAGGGCCAGCAGGTGGCGTGGTTAAGGTGCTGGACACTCCCACATGGCCAACCACTGTTCGAGTCCTGGACCTGGTGCCTTGCTTTCTCACTTTCCTCCTCTCTCTGTGTCTGTCTTTTTCTAGTCAAATTAAAATAAGTGAATGAATAAATGATTCTTTTTTAAAAAGCATATTAAACTGAAACCTAAAAAGTAGAGCAAGTTAATGATAATTTAAAATTTTCATCAAATATGCTTTCTACAGTGGCAGTTACCATGAAGCTAATAAATATAAGTTTCACATTCCCGAAGTGGTCTTCAATGTGATTACATCACCATCTGTATTTGGCAAGTTTTCAAAAATACAGTAATTTTTTTAATATGGAAGACTAAATTGTATAAGATTTAATCTTCACAAAACCTAGGCTTGCTTTTGCTTTTTATCTTGAATAAAACATAAATGTAGTTCTTTATTTCTTCTCTTTTCAATTGCCAGAGGGTGCATACACTCACAGAGGGTGATAAAGGGAGAGGAAGAGGGAGAAAGCACCCCCTACCCCCATAGGGCGCAGTCACACCACAATTCCTTCTCTTCCATTTCTGTATCTTATTGGGATTTGGGGCATATATGAACATG